AAAGACACCGAACCACCACAGCAAAAGTAGCAGTGCGCCGATCAAGCCCGACGCTATCATCAGATTCGACTTGAGCTCTCTCCACTGCATCTCCCGCCTTGCACCGCGCGCCTTGGCTGAGAAGACGTTGGCCGATTGCGCCACGCTCTGCGACTTGTCAGCCAGCTCCGTGAGCTTCTCGTCGCGCTCAAGCATCTTCTTCATGTTCTCCTGCATGACGACGCGCACCTGGTTCACCTGTTCCTGAACCGCTGGCAGCTGCGCATCGCTTCGCCGCGTGTCGCTCGACATGAGGGGGTCGCGGTCCTCGGTGGGCATGGTGGCAAACCCCCTACGGGAGCGGTGGCGGAGCGGTGTGGTGTGTGGGACGCCGAGCTATGCCGGACACCACTCTTGGTGTGCGTGTGTGCGTGCGTGTGTTGTTGTGCGCGCCAAGGTCGCCAAGGTCGGCGCAAGCGCTCAAGAAGTAAAACACCAATTTGTTGTGAGAAGAGCGACTAGCACACCTCTGAGTCCCAGAAACCCGAGGAGTCACACAGTCCACCTGTGTGATGCACGCCCTGCGAGCGGGGCCGGGGTGCGCACTGTCCCTCTGTGTTCGTGTGCGTCGCCCATCTCTCGCTGGTGATGACTGTTTGTTGTTTTGTTTGTTTTGTGAGAGAGAGAGATTTTTAGGTGTTTGTGTTTGTTTTGTAGGTATGTTGTTGGCAAAGGAAGACACAGAGCTCACACAAAATCACAGTGGGTGGTAAGCGAACGAGTCACTTAACAGGGGTCGATTAGTGCGGGCCACCCTGTCCAGAGGCGGAGGTGCCTTGTTCTGGGATCTTGCGATCGAGTCTATGCAACCCTCGGCCACGCTCTCCTTTCGTGGCTGATAAGCATTCGCAGACCAGGCGATGGAGATGGCGGGGAGCACGGATGTGACTGCGCACCAAGGCGAGGGGGGCACGACACGCACCGACCCTTCACGAACCGAAAGGCCGTGCCCGGCGTGCAAGGGGCACGGTAATCCGGCACGTGTTGGACGCCCCATTCCGTTTAGGGCTAGGTCGGCTCAGGCCCCGTCCACTTCCCTCCCACTTGGCGCGTGATGATGAGGAGGTGCCACCCAAGGGCGGAGGGCGAGAGCGGAGGGCGGAGGGCTGGGCGGAGGCAAGGGCGGGCAGGATTTTTTTTTCGTTGGCCGAAGCCTCGTTCGCCAAAGCCTCAGAGGCCGAAGCCTCACTGGTCCAAGCCTTGCGCGTTGGGCCGCTTCCAAAGGAGGGCGGAGACGGAGCCGGAAAGGTGCGCGAGCAGCTTGCACGCGCGAACTCAACGAAAGCGCTAGACCGAGAGCCATTCCCATTGCGGAGGCATAGCCGGACTCAGCCTTCCCGTCGAAACGCGTCCAGACAAGGGAAGCCCATCACTGGACAAGGA